GAAGAGATCAACCCTGACTGCTCTTTAGAAGGCCATATCCTGAAGTTGAAACTCAAATACTTTGGCCACCTAATGAGAAGGAAGGACTCACTGGAGAAGAGCCTAATGCTGGGAAAGATTGAGGGCAATAGAAGAAGGGGACGACAGAGAATGAGATGGCTGGATGGAGTCACTGAAGCAGTAAGTGTGAATTTAAATGGACTCCAGAAGATGGTAGAGGACAGGAAGACCTGGAGGAACGTTGTCCATGGGGTCGCGATGGGTCGGACACAATTTCGCAATTAACAACAACAACAACAACAACAAATGAAACACTCTATGATATAGAAGAAATTACTCAGGAAAAAATAAGGTAATATATAGAAAATGCCAAGCTACCAAAAATTTTAGAGAACTTTAAAAATATGCTAAATGGAAAAATAATAACGATGGAACTGACATAAGTGATAAAAAGACAAAAAAATGACAAAACACCAGGCCCAGATGGGCTACCCACAGAATTTTACAAATGTCTACAAGATATACTAAGCTCATTAATGCAAGTTGTGTGTAATGAGGTACTATTAGAAGCCAAATCACCAAATACGTTGACAGAAGCCAATATTAACTTAATACCAAAAGAAGACTCAGACTTGATCCATATAAAGAACTGTAGACCAATATCTCTGTTAAATGTGGATCATAAAATTTTTGCTTCAGTAATAGCAGAAAGATTGAAGAGATTTTTGATTGAATTTATACATCCAGACCAAAAATGGATTCTTATCAAAGAGACAAATAAAGAACAATTTAAGAATTATTTTAGATACACTGGAATATTATGAAATGCATCCAGGGAAGCAAATGGCACTAATTTTTTTTAGATGTGCAGAAAGCCTTTGATAACATTAATTGGCAATTTATGGTACAACAACTAAACTATGGATTTTGGAGAATATTTCATAAATACAATTAAAACAATTTATAATAGACAAATGGCTAAAGTAATTGTAAATGGAGATTTCACAGAGAACTTTAATATTAAAAAAGGTAGTGGAAAAGGCTGTCCACTATCTCCATGATTATTTATTTTAACTTTGGAACTGTTGAATAGAAATGTTAGACAGGACCCAGAAATTAAAAGAATGGAGATAAAAGATGAAAAATATAAACTACAAGCATTTGCAGATAATTTGGTATTTATATTAGAAGACCTGTTGGAAACAAGCCCTAAATTATTGACAAAGATTGAAGAATTTGGAGAAGTAGCAGGACTGAAAATAAAACAGAGAAAAGACTAAAATTATAATCAAAAACCTTACAGACAAACAAAAAAACCAACTGTCAGAAAAAACAGACCTCTAGGTAGTCAAGAAAGTTAAATATCTGGGGATATATTTAACAGCAAGGTGTGCAACAATAAAAGAAGATAAATTATGTAAAATTATTACAACAAAGTAATAATGGAAAAATGGAAAAACTTACAACCATCAACATTAGGAAGTATGGTGACGGTGAAAATGAACATTTTGGTAAACTATTTTTTTATTCCAAACAATACCTATAAAAATAGAGAAATTTTGTTTTTGATGAGTTAAATGCATCGATTTTGAAATTTATCTGGCAAGGGGAAAAAAGCCAGAATTAGACTGAAAATGTTACAAGAAATGAAAGAAAATGGAGGATTTGGGTTACCAGACTGGGCTCTATACTATCAAGCAGCTGCATTAACATGGTTAAAAGAATGGATAACCTTAGACACAAAAGATTACTATACTTAGAAGGACATGACTTACAACTCGGATGGCACACCTTTCTATGGTATGGGAAGAAAAAAATCCATAAATACTTTCAAAATCATTGTGTAAGAAATGCTTTGCTTCCAACATGGGAAAAGATAAAAAGAAAAATTTATATGAAAGTACCAGGATGGATCTCGACAATGGAAGTATTTGTTCACCCAAATCTAATTAAGTATGAGAAACTTGTGATTTATAGAGACATTTTGAATACTGAAGGGAAACTATAAACTAAACAAGAACTGAAAGAACAGGGCATTGAGCTGTAATGTTGGCCACAGCTGCAAATGCAAATGAGATATGAGAAAGATGCCAAAACATATAGTATTTATAAAGACCAGACATTGTTTGACCAGATACTATTGTCAACAGATGAAAAATTAAGAAACTGTATAACATTTTGTTAAACTTAAAGATGGAAGATGAACATGTCAAAGAAACAGTGATAATTTGGACAAAAAACTTTGGGCACAATATAGAGTTAGAAAAATGGCAAAACCTGTGGGAAGGAAACTATAAAATAACAATGGCAGCTACCTATAAACAAAATTTATATAAAATGTTTTATAGATGGCATTTACCACCTGCGAGGTTAGCAAAAATATTTAAAAACATGTCTAGCAATTGTTGAAAATGTGGCCATGGGAACAGTCCTCCAGCAAAATAAGGAGGGAAACTTACAGCCATGCATGTACACAAGCTAAATGAGACAGAGTGGCTGTGGGTTGTGTGGGACAAAGAGGCTTTTGCAGTACAGTGGGCGCTACTAACATGGAGACAGTTCCTGGAGGAAGCAAGGCTCCCTTTGAAGTGTGGACTAACCATAAAAACTTAGAAGCAATGAAGATCCCCCACAAGCTTTCTCCTAAACAAGTCCAATAGGTGCAGTTCTTCAAAAGATTTGACTTTGAATTAAAGTACATTCCGGGGGGGGGGGGATTTCTTCTGCCCTGTCCTGCATGCCCCAATATAATATATAAGAGGAGATGGTGAGCTCCATCGTTCCCAGCAGGCAACACGTAGCACAGGCTACAACCAGGCGGCAAGAGAAGAAGAGCTCACTTCCCACCAATGTGTTTGCCCAACAACTGCTTCAGACCAACGCATGGTTTATGGCTCATCAGAGAGAATTGACTATGAGAGATGAGTTGGCGTGGAAGGTGGACAAATTGTATGTCCCAGACCACCTACAATTACAAGTTCTGCAATGCAGTCACAATGCTAAACAAGCATGCCACTTTGGGTTCCTGGAGACATTACATCTCACCAATTGTCAGTTCTGGTAACCAAAGATGAAGAAAGATATTGAGGGCTATGTGGGAAGTTGTGCTGTCTGTGCAGGTAGCAAGAGACTACCAGGGAAGAGTCTGGGACTGTTGCAGTAGGTGGCTGATCCGACCAGATCCTGGGAGGAGATTGCCATGGACTTTATAGTGGAGCTACCAGAGAGTGGGGGGAGTACTATGATTTGGACCATGATAGACTTATTTTCCAAGCAAGCCCACTTCGTTGCATGTGATGGATTCCCCTTGGCCCAGAGGCTAGTGAAGATGTTTTTGCAACACGTCTACAAATTACATGGAGTGCCTAAGCCAGTGGTTCTCAACCTGTGGGTCAGGACCCCATTTGGGGTCGAACGACCATTTCACGGGGGTCGCCAAACAAGGCTGTCCGCCATTTTTTTCCCCTTTGGCCACGCCTCTGGCACCCGGTGATGTATAAGTGGTTGGGGGTCACCACAACATGGGGAACTGTATTATGGGGTCGCGGCATTAGAAAGGTTGAGAATCACTGGCCTAAGCGCATCATTTCACATCATGGGGTCCAGTTCACTGCTATATTCTGGAAGGAATTTGTAACAGTGATTGGGTCCTCCCAGGGGTATAAGTACAAATGGATTGGCAGAACAAATGCAATAGTGGAGCAGAATCTGCTATGTCAACTACCAGCAAACGAACTGGGCAGAGCTTTTGCCGTTTGCAGAGATAGCATATAACAATGCAGTACACAGCAGCACAGGTTTCACTCCATTTAAGTTAGCCATGGGGCTGGAATTCGTGCCAATACCAGAGTGCCTGCAAGAGCCCCTCTCCTCAAGCACCCTAAGCGACTGGATGGGTTCATTCCAGCAAGTCTGGAGCGATACAAAATGGCTTTAACAAAAGCAGCCAAAAGTCAGAAAAAGCAAGCAGACAAAAAAACAAGCTCCCCAGGAAACATTCCATATAGGAGATAAAGTGTATCTGTCCACCAAGTATCTTAAGGTGAGACAAATTTGCAAGAAGTTAGGGATGAAGTACATAGATCCTTTCCTCATCATAAAAGTCAACCCAGTGATAGTAGAGCTAAGACTACCAGGGTTATTGGGTAAAGTGCACCCAGTATTCCCTTGCATCTTACTGAAACCATATAGGGGATCCACAATGAGACCAGCCTCAATAGTGGTAGAAGGGGAAACACATTATGAAGTTAAGCAAATACTTGATTCTAGAATCCACAAAGGGAAATTGCAGTACTTAATCCAATGGGAGGGGTATCCGATATCAGAAGCTAGATGGGTGAAAGTCCAGAACGTAAAAGCGGATCGTTTAGTAAAACATTTCCACACTAAGTACCCCCCAAAACTGGGACCAGTACAAGGGAAGAATTAATAAGCAATGATGTGTATTCCTTTTTGTTTTCCAGATTCTCCTTCCCTTCTAGGGGCCAGCCTGTCAAGCTATGAAATTTATTGTCTTTAGGACTGCTGTAGTGCTTCTAGCTTGTCTACAGTTATGGGGGGAGAGAGGAGAGTTGGGATCCACAGGTGCTCCCTATCAGCGTGAGAGCTGAAGTTGCTGATGAACTGTTTTGGTGAACTGAAGTTTTTTTCTCCTAACAATTGCTGAAAGATTAATTAAACAATGTGACCTGAACTGTCAAGAGAGGAGAGGGAAAGTTTTACTCTTTTACTTGTTTCCTGCCATAAAGAGCTAGCTTTCCTTCTATCGTACTGGTTTGCTAATGCCTAATAAAGTTTACATTAGAAATCGCAATGTCTCTGGTGTTTTTCTTCATTGGGCTTCTTAGCTGGAACATGACACGCCATGATTCACTTAACAACTGTGGCAAGAAAGGTTGCAAAATGGGACAACATTCACAACAGTCTTACTGAGCAATTAAGAAATTTTGGGCTCAATTGTGTTCATGGACTATCTGTAACTGTTTCCTCTCTGTATTCAGGGTGGCTGTTTTGGACAAAGTCACTGATTTCCTGTTTTTCCTTGGAAAAATCCTAATTGTGGGAAGTGTTGGTAAGATATTTGTGATATTTTGAGTTTTCTCTTAAGTTTGGTCATTTATTGGTCTTCTTTTTGGTGTTTCCATGCAGATTTCACTTATTGTATTTGCATTTGAATGCAATTGGTATAGGCAATAAAGAATATATTTAAAGCAGGGGTCAAAGCCTTTTTTTTTTTGTATAACAGGAATGGGACCCTAATATAGCTGGAGGTAAAGCTGTTTCTTTTCCTACGTATGATTTCTGTACCTTTCCACATTTTGCTGTAGTTCAATCCTACTTTTGCTCTTCCAAAAATTTCCAGTTGCAAGTCACTTGCCTCAAATTTTAAGATATCAAGAGTTGTAATCCAGTATATGTAGAGGACATAAAGCTAGTGGAGATCTTTTCCACCTCTCTTACATGTTATTGCAGCTCATTTTCATAATAAGTAGAAACAAGTACAAGATTTAAACCCTATTTGGGAGGGGGAAAGGAATTTGTTGAAATACGTCTGGATCAAGGTCAAACTCGTTTGTAAAAATGATGGGATTTCCAAATTGGCACTAAAGATATAGAGAAAAATGTAAAATTTAATTATTTTCATTTCTTTTTAGGTATCCTTGCTTTCTTTTTTTTCACCCAAAGAATAAAGCTGATTCAAGACACAGCACCAACTCTCAATTATTACTGGGTCCCCATTCTGGTTAGTATTTCTAAAAATATGAATGTATTTTTTTTCTCCAATTCCAGCTGTACTGGTTGGCAGCTGTTTTCATGTTCATTTAATCTACTTTTACAGCATTGAAGTCTTCCTTGATAGTTGTGCTGCTTGGGGGGAGGGTTGAGAAAGAGTCACCATTAGTTTATTGAAATATAACATGCATTCTGTTATTAACTATTGGTTACATTTAATTTCCATCTTACTTCAAGGGAATATATAGGTTCTGTACTACCCATGTTATTTTATCCTAGCTATGAGTTAAATTTTGAAGAAAATTAATTGATTCATATATTGTACTAAGATAAAATGTGGTTGGCATAGGGTGTTTGTAGTCTAGTGAACTCATTCATTGCAGTTTATAAACCATGGTTTAATCTGTTGTGTCAATCCAATTAACTGGTTCCTTCAACCATATTAAAATTAACCTTGACTTAGAATAATCCACGAAGAATATGTGCATTTGCATGTAATTCTCAAATGCTTGGAAGAGAGTTCTAATTCCCACCAGATCCAATTCATATTTGTTCATTTATTAAATTTGCTTGCCATCCATCTCACCACAAGGTGACTCTGGGCAGCTTATAATTCTTTTATAAAAGAATAAAAGTATACAAATAATAAGAATAAAATACTATAAAAATACCAATTATCAGTTATAATTAAAAGATGGAGAGGGAAGGAGTGGGATGGGGGGAGGGGGGATCTGTTGTTGAATCTATCAACCACATGCAACATGAACCTCCCCCACTAGAATCCCAGGCCAGCTGATAGAGCCAGGTCTTCAAGCTCTTGTGGAAGGTCAGAAGGTGGGAGCTCACTTCACTCCTGGGGCAAGTTATTCCAAAGGGCAGGAGTGACAGCAGAGAAGGCTCTTCTTGATCCTGCCAGCTGGAGTTCCCTGGCTGGTGGGACCTGCAGCATTTCTCCTCTGTCTGCACATGTGGGGTGGGCCAATCCCATTGGGATAAGATGTTCCTCAAGTAACCTTGATCCATGCCATGAAGGGCTTTAAAGATGATAACCAACACTTTGAATTGCCCCTGCAAGCAAACTAGTAGCCAGTGCAACTTACAGAATAGCGGTGGGGGCCCCAAAAGCTAAGAGCCGAGGTGGCACAGCAGTTAGGGTGCAGTACTGCAGGCCACTTTAGCTGACTGTGTTCAGCAGGTCAGAGGTTCAAATCTCACCGGCTCAAGGTTGACTCAGCCTTCCATCCTTCCGGGGTAGGTAAAATGAGGACCCAGATTGTTGGGGGCAATGTAAATATATATATACATTGCTTACTGGTGTACACCGCTTAGAGAGTGCTCGCACTTAAAGCAGTATATAAGTCTCATAAATAAATAAATAAATAAAAGCTGCCCATGCTGCCTCACTCTGCACCAGCTGTAGCTTCCAAATGCTCTTAAAGGGAAACCCCATGTAGAGCATTTTGCAATAGTCCAAATACAAGAATGACTGAGCGCAGGGACTCCTGATCCAGGAAAAGCCACAACCCGAAGTTATGCAAAGGCTCTCCTAGCTTCAACTGCCACCTGCTATTTGAATAGGAATTGTGAGTCCAGGTGAACCACCAAATTGCAAACCAGATCTGTCTGGAGTAGTGCCACCTCATCCAGAACTAGGGATTCAAAGTCCTGGATCTTGGGGGTCCACATACTCAAAGCCATTTGGTCTTGCCAGGGTTCAGCCAAATCCTGGTGTCCCCCTGATAGCCTCCAGACACTGTGAGAGGACAGCAACTTGGGTTACCAGGGGTGGACATAAAGATTATATAAATATAATCCATTTAGACATTATTGTTATCGTCATTGCCTAGATATGATACATTCTCTTTTTTTGCAGACAGTGATTGTGGGTTCCTACCTCATTGCACATGGATTTTTCAGTGTATATGCCATGTGCGTGGACACACTTTTCCTTTGCTTCTGTAAGTATCTTGTTTAAACTGTTAAATGGTGCTAGCCACTGCTGCTATATTATGCTTTATCCAAAAGTAAACAGTTATTTATTGACTCCAAAGCTGCTCCCTAGTTACTCTAACATTAAGCCTGGAATTCATTCCTGATGGGGCTCCAGGTTAACTTAGCCTTCCATAGCAGTAGTAGCATAACATTTAGAATTTATACCACTTCATAGTATTTTACAGCCCTCTCTAAGCAGTTTACAGAGTCAGCATATTGCTCCTAAAAATCTAGATCCTTATCTTACTGACCTCAGAAGATAGAAGGCTGAGTCAGTCTTGAGCCAGTCTGTTGTGTCCTGAGCCTGCAAAGGCAGGCTCGGGACGTTGCAACGGTCCCGGGCAGTTGCAAGCTGCCCGGGACCAGACTGAGTGGCACCGGCTTCACGCACATGCGTGAGGCGCAGAAGCACGCCAGAATGTTACCTTTTTGCCCGGGGATTCTATTAAAGAAGTCAGAGAGGCCTGCGAACCTCAGAGCTGTGACGGAGAGAGAACTACTGAAATAAAAGGGCTGTTGGAATTACAGAATGTGCTCTATTCATTCGCCGTTGACTCGAGGACTCAACACTGGCAACGAGGATGGGATAACTTACAAAAACAAAAAAGAAGAATTGTAAGCTTACCCCAAGAGTCCTGGAGAGAGGAAGACGGCATTAAACTCAGCACCTGGCCTACCAGTACAGCGTTGCTGGAGGTAAGCTGGCTGATAGACCCCTTCCTAGCATAGAAGCAAGAATGGCGAAGATAGGGAGGCTGTCTGAATTCGATGTCACTCACCCAGAAAGATGGGAGTCTTATGTGGCCAGAGTAGAAAATTACTTTAGAGTAAATCAAGTAAGAGAAGGTGGCTTGAAGGCCGCTACTTTGCTCTGTGTCAAGATGCATTTGAAATTGCAGAAAATTTGGCAGCCCCTGCTCCTCTTGAATCTGTCACTTACACAGATTTTAAAAAGTTATTGAAGGAACATTTTCAGCCCAAGTTGTCTGTTATTGCGTGGAGACACACTTTTGAACAGAAGGATCAAAGAGCTGGTGAATCAGCTAAAGAATACATTGCAGCCTTGAGAAGAGCAGCTAAGCCTTGTGATTTTAAAGATTTAGAAGAAAGGTTGAGAGACCGATTTGTATGTGGGCTTAGGGACAGAGACTTGCAACAGAGACTCTTTGCAAAGGAGGACATTTCATTCCAAGATGCCTTGAGAGAGGTCACTGCAGAAGAGGCAGCAGGTGGGGCTGTCAAGAACATGAGGCCTATCAGGAACAACCCAGAAGCCGTCTCCGTGCACCATGGGGGAATCCAGGAGAGCTCGGAAGAAGATCCTGAAGATGAGGTGGATCATCTCTACCGAGCCAAAGAAAGGTAGCAGAAGGAAGGCAAAGAATAGTCTTCAGCTGTACCCAAGTGCTTCGGGTGTGGAGGTCGCCACAAGAGGACCGACTGCAGGTTCCGTTCTGCAATCTGTAGAGCATGTGGAAAGCAAGGCCACATAGCAGCTGTGTGTCTGGGCCGTCAGAAGGTACAACCCCGAGAAGAATTGCACCTGAAAGGTACCAGGGTCCCCAGCCAAAACAGGGTGGATTTCTGTGCATCACGTAGAAGCATTTATAGGACAGGCACACACAGGCCACTTAAAAAGAAACTGTCACTTAAAGTGAAGTTGCAAGGAGTTCCATTGGTTATGGAAATGGACACTGGGTCTGCCCTTTCAATCATTTCTATTCACACTTTCAGAAAGATTTGCTCTAGCAGTGGGTTCCAGGCCAAGCTTAGGCCATCCAATATAGTCTTAACAGACTTCCAAAATTCCAAGGTGTGTGTTAAGGGGGAGGCCGCCCTTAAAATACAATACAAGGATTTTGAAGGTCCATTAGATGTATTGGTAGTTGGGGGTGAACGAACGAGTCTCATTGGACTCGATTGGTTTGAGGCCTTGGGAATACAAGTTACAGGGCTACACAATTTGCAAACATTAGGTCTACAAGAAGTCTGCAAAGAATTTGCAGATGTCTTCAGCCCCCAGCTGGTAGAATACAAAGTCCCCCCAGTTTCCTTGAAACTGGACCCCACTGTCACTCCCATTAGGGTGAAAGCAAGAAGAGTACCCTTTGCTTTGAAAGGAAAAATTGATGCTGAGTTGGACAAATTGATTCAGCAAGATGTTTTAGAACCTGTTGACTCAAGCCCATGGGAAACTCCCATAGTCACGCCTCTCAAGGCTAATGGGGACATTCACATCTGTGCAGATTACAAATGCACACTAATGCATATCCTGTACCTGTAGTCAGCCACATTTTGGCCTCCCTCAAAGGGGGGCGTGTTTTTGCAAAGCTGGATTTAGCACAGGCTTATCAACAGTTACCTGTTGATGAAGCTGCTGCTGAAGCACAGACTATTGTAACCCATAGGGGAGCATTCAAGGTCAAAAGACTACAATTTGGCGTAAATGTAGCTCCTGGAATTTTCCAAAGTGTAATGGAAAACACTCTGAGAGGTATACCAGGGGTTTGCCCCTATTTTGATGATGTCCTAATAGCAGGAGAATCCACTCAAAATTTAGCTGAGAGATTGAGAGCTGTTCTGCTGCGTTTCAGGAAAACAGGTCTCAAACTTAAAAAAAGACAAATGCAAAATTGGAGTGTCTTCTACAGATTTCCTGGGATCCAGAATAGATGCCAGGGGTATTCACCCTGCTGTGTCTAAATTAAAGGCTATACTGCAAGCTCCTAGGCCTAAGTCTAAAGCTGAGTTACAAGCTCTTCTGGACCTCTTGAATTTTTACAATGCATTCATACCTAACAAAGCTAATGTAGCAGAGCCACTTCATAGACTCTTAGACAAACAGGCAGTGTGGCAGTGGTCACAAGCACATGAAGAAAGCTTCAATAAGGTCAAGGCCTTACTTACATCAAATGATGTGCTTGCACATTTTAATGAAACTCTTCCTGTGTGCATCGCTTGTGATGCTTCCCTTTATGGGGTGGGAGCTGTACTTAGCCATTTAAGAACTGATGGAACTCAGGTTCCTGTTGCATATTACTCCAGAACTTTGTCCTCTGCTGAGCGAAACTACGCTCAGATAGACAGAGAAGCTTTGACCATTGTTGCTGGAATTAAAAAATTCCATAATTTTCTATATGGCAGACACTTCACGGTCTATACTGACCATAAGCCTCTGCTGGGGTTGTTTACTACAAACAAACAAACAAACTCCCCATATCATTTCCCCTAGAATGCTGAGATGGTCCATCTTTCTGTCAGCCTATGACTTTTCACTGGTTCACAAACCTGGCAAGGAAATGGGCCACGCTGATGGCCTTAGTAGATTACCTTTACAAATGGTAGAGGCTGACCCTGGCCCTGCCATCAACATTCTTTCCATTCAGACGTTGCCTGAGTTGCCCTTAAATGCTAGGGATGTGGCTGCTGAATCAGCCATGGATCTCACACTCACTCGTGTATTGTCCTGGGTTTTGTCTGGATGGCCTGAGAGTTGTCCAGGTACTGAGTTTCAGAGTTTCTGGCTCAAGAAGCATGAGTTATCCACTTTTCAGGGTTGTCTGTTATGGGGCAGCAGAGTTGTTATTCCTACCTCAATGAGACCTAGGGTCTTGGCTTCCCTTCATGAGGGTCATCCTGGCATTGTCAGGATGAAGGCGCTTGCGTGTAGCCATTTATGGTTAGATAGGGACATAGAGTTAGATAGGGACATAGAGGCTCAAGTGCATGGATGCCACTTGTGTCAGCGCTCACGCCCTGAAATGCCTCAGGCTCCTGTACATAGTTGGGAGGAAACACAGTCGCCTTGGTCTAGGGTGCATGTAGATTACGCTGGGCCCTTTCAGGGTCAATTCTTCTTGGTCCTTGTTGACAGCTATTCAAAGTGGCTTGAGGTTGTACCTGTCTCTTTCACCACTGCTGCCAAGACCATTCAAGTACTGAGAGGGATTTTTGCTGCACATGGGCTTCCAGATGTCCTGGTGTCTGACAGTGGTCCTCAATTCACTTCTTTCGAGTTTCAAGCTTTCTTGCAGGCCAACATGATTCGTCATGCCACCTCTGCACCATTCCACCCTTCCACCAACGGTATGGCTGAGCGGATGGTCCGCATCACCAAGGATGCTTTAAAGAAACTGACCTACGGGGACTGGCACCACAGGTTGGCAGACTTTCTTCTTGCTTACCGCACCACACTTTCAACTTCCACTGGGAAGAGCCCAGCTGAACTCCGTTGGGAGCGTAAACTGATCACCAAACTTGACAGGTTGCACCCGGACAGATTGCCTCCTAAGGTCATCCAACCCAAGGCACCGCGGTGTCTGCAAGTGGGTGCCCCAGTATGGACCCGGAACTATGGGCCCGGTCACTTGTGGGTTCCTGCCGTAGTATGCAAGATCACTGGTCCATTGTCCTACGAGGTCTCCTTGGACGACGATCGTGTCCTTCGGCGGCATATCTATCAGCTGCGTATGAGACTGGACTTACCCTCTGCAACTCCTGGGTTTTCTCCAGGGGGGGAGGGGGACCACTATGGGCAAAGGGAAGGGTGTTGGCAGCAGCCAGGGCCAAATGGAGAGGCCGAAGAAGGCCTGTTCCAGGGTTCCGCAAGTGTTCCAAACAGGAATTCAGGGGAACAAGAAATAATACAGGCACCAGTGCCTACTCCAGCCAGGGAGTCACCCAGGGGGCATACTCATCATTCACAACTGCCATTCAGTACTCCAGTCAGGGATAATAACAGGGAGCATCCAAATAACCCAAACATTACAAGAGAACTGGCACACAAACAGTCAAGTTGGCCCAGTACTGCTACTGCTTTCAAAAGGAAGTCTTCACACAGGGAGGTAGTCAGAGAGGCAAATCCTGATTCTGGCACCTCCGGTATAGAATGGGGGGCAACTGAGTATTGGGGCACTGCAGAAACCCCAGACAATCCCGTTACAGGGCTTGGGAGTGAAGGAATGCG